GCTGATTGTGAAGGGACAACTGGGGCAGATGGGGTTTCGAATTGGTACAAACCAGGAGGGGGAGCCCTAACCAGGGAACTGTCTGTGGGATTCTCACGGGGGCCTGATGGGACAGAGCGAGAAGGCACCCTGGTATCAAAGAGGGGGCGAATATAGGGGTCCACAACTACCCTTCTGATGGTGATGCCCCATTTCTTTAGACAGGATTGCATTGTCATTAGTTCCCCAAGCCAATGGTTGTCTTCTAGTGTAATTAGAAGATGAGAGGAGCGGTCAGGAGATTGATAGTCCCTCCGCAGCCATGTTATGGCCTCCAATCTTATATCCCGTGGTCTTTTTCCTAAAATTTGGGCTAATGAGTCACAAACCGCCCTCCTGGAGGTCCATCTGCCTCTGTTTATCATTAGGTCAGCAATGTCCACCGCAAAATTGTCTGTTGGGAGATGTTGGTCCTGGGCAAGAGCTGCGGTTAGCTGAACAGTATGATCTGATGTTACATTATTAGTTGTCCTTAGGGAGCCTGTCAAAGTCCGCTTCCACTCCCTGATGTTCTCATTCCTATGTATGCCCGACAACCCTCCCCCACCCTCAATCATCCCATCATCCATTCCTCCTTCCACTCCGGGGGCCAAGGTGCCGTTCTCCCCACTAGGGCCCAAATCCTTGGCCAGGTCCGCACACAAAGGATTGTCTGTCCTTAGAGGATCAGATTGCACTGAAGTTCCTGATAGGGAGGCAAAGCCACTGAGAAGATGGTCCATTTTCTGCATGTTTCATTCAATGCTATATTCACCTGCTTTGCCAAACAGGGCAGGCATACTCGGCAGTTGAGTAAGACAAGGCTAGGGCTGATGTTCTTATTAATTTGGGTCTGCACCCCATGTGCTGCCAGTAAATTTCCACAGGATGTTATTGCATGCAGCTACTTTGTGCTTGGTGTTCAAGCAGTGTTTCCTATATGCTAGTGTTTGATCTAAGGTGACACCAAGATATTTAGGCTGGAAACAGTGTTCAAGGTTTTGACCGTCCCAGGTGACTTTCAATTTCCTGTTGGCTTCACGGTTGCGTAGGTAGAAAGCACACACTTGTGTCTTGGTAGGGTTAGGCTTCAGGTGGTTATCTTTGTAATAGCTGGAGAGATAACTGATAACAGGACAATGTTTTCTTATTACATTTGAGGGTAGCAGATGAATGGTTTATGGTTGTGCAGGTATGGCTTGATCTAGGTAATTGTTCCATATTCATGATGGCTACCTAGCCATAGCTGGGACACTACTGCTATAATCACAACTCTCCCTATTCTACAAGGTGTAATAATAATAATAACTTTATTTTTATACCCTACCACCATCTCCCCAAGGGGACTCAAGGCAGCTTACAAGGGGACAAACCCAAATACAGATAAAACCAAACATAATAGAATCGATCAAATAAAACATAACACAGTAACAATCATCATCATAAAACTGTCTTATGGCTGGGATAAAGTCGCACTGGGTTTGGGCACAAGTAAGTGCAGAGCTTCCTAAATGGGGCCAATAGAAAGTGCAAAATTAAAATGACTATGGGATAGGAATATCCTTAGTGTCATAATAAGTGTAAACTGCATGGGAAGATGGAGATCCATTCTGCCTGTGATTGGAGTGCAAATGAATGCATTTCCATCAGGTTTGGGGGTGAATTTGTCAGTAGAAGTTATTTTGTGAAGTATAGTTAGCCCCGTAAAAAAAAAACCAACCTAATTTGTTTTCAGTGTTGTATTGCAAAGCATCCTTTTCCTATAGATTCATGATATTATATCCCAGATATCTTCTGGAAGCAACGCGAGACCTCTCAGGGTATATCTTCATTATAGAATTAACACTGTTTGACACCACTTTAACTACCATAACTCAATGCTATGAAATCCGGAGGGTTGTTGTTTTACAAAGTCTTTAGGCTTCTCTTAGGGTCCCCGGGTGGAGAAGTGTGTTAAACCACAGAGCTGCTGAACTTGCTGACTAAAAGATTGGCAGTTCGAATCTGGGGAGCGAGGTGAGCACCTGGTGTTAGGCCAAGCTTCCGCCAGCCTAGCAGTTTGAAAACATGCAAATGTGAGTAGATCAATAGGTACCACTTCTGAGAGAAGGTAACTGCTCTCCATGCAGTCATGCTGGCCACTTGACCTTGGAGGAGTCTATGGACAGTGCGGGCTCTTTGGCTTAGAAACTGAGATGAGCAGTAGCCCCCCAGAGTCAAACACAACTAGACTTAATGTCAGGGAAAACCTTTACCTTTGGCTTCTCTGCCAAAGAGTGATGGTACCTCACCAGGCTATAGATCCCAGGATCTAGCTTTGAGCTTTGGCAATTAAAGAGGTGTCACATGGCATTAATTCTACAGTCTAATAAGTGGGATTAAGGCTGTTTTGACATATTTAATTTCTTGAACCAAAGATAAAGACCCAAAATTGAAACAATATGTATTCAAAGTTATTTGTGCATTTTCAGTGGCATTTTAGCATTATAGTTATTTTTTTCTGAAAAGTAACCTAATAGAATTACTATTTTTTACAGCACTCTCAATTCAACCTTATGATTCCCTGATGTATAAGCTCAGAGCTGATATTCGTGGCAAAATGGGTTTAATTAAAGAAGCAATTGCTGATTACAGAAAAGCTATCAGTATCCAAGAACTTATCAGTACTGGGTGAAAAGGTATCTTTCAATACAACATAAGGGCTTTCATTACAAGGACTTTTATTAGTTCATGTTGAACATCATCTGTATTTTGCTGCTATGTAGAGAATATACTAATCTAGTTATTTTTTGTCATGGGGTTTAAATTGTATGTATAGTTCTGTATTTATCTTGTTTGCACAGTTCAGTAGTGAATATTACATAAAATGAATGCAAATACCGTAGTTTGTATTCTGAAATTAATATTTATTGTACAACTTTCTGCATTTCAAGTGGGATTAAAGTCAGTGCATAAATGTTTAATTAACAAATAAAAATAGGAATCACTTCAATATGGATTCATGTGTTTATTTCTTTATTTAGATCCCCCTACCCTTTCTACCAGTTTGAGATCTATAACATTAGTGAAATAAGTTACTAAACATGTTACTGAAGATAAGTACTTGGTTTACTATAATTTTTACTATAATTGCATGTATCTATACTGTGGCATGTTAGTGTGTTGGCTGCAGTTGCAGGCATGCTGCACGAAACCTCTGTGTCTATGTAAAACAAGCAATTACTCATATATTTTTAAAAATTTAAATGAAAACTTTTCATGAGCAATGTTGTATCCCCATACATTTTGATATTACAAATTTATGTTTGTGTCCATATCTCTTTTGAGGGGTTGATTTAGCCACCGGTCTGTTAGGAAAACTGAATTGAAATGATGCATGTCTAAAAAGTGTTTGGAAAGCTCTGCTGAACTATTTAAGATGTGCAGATTCAATTTAAGATAAGCCATAATGCTAGAAGATTTTGAATAATTACTGAAGAAAATCAAGGAAGAAATGCAAATGCAGGTTTACAGATGAACTTTAAGGAAACAGGCATAATGACCACATATGTTGTTGTTGTTGTTGTTGTTGTTGTTGTTTTTGTTTTTGTTGCTGTTGTTGTTCAGGGTCTTCAGGTCTTTTATGATTTATAATGATATATAGCAGAGATTTCAAGTTTGTTGTTCATTCGTTCAGTCGTCTCCGACTCTTCGTGACCTCATGGACCAGCCCACGCCAGAGCTCCCTGTCGGCCGTCACCACCCCCAGCTCCTTCAAGGTCAGTCCAGTCACTTCAAGGATGCCGTCCATCCATCTTGCCCTTGGTCGGCCCCTCTTCCTTTTGCCTTCCACTTTCCCCAGCATAATTGTCTTCTCCAGGCTTTGCTGTCTCCTCATGATGTGGCCAAAGTACTTCAACTTTGTCTCTAGTATCCTTCCTTCCAGTGAGCAGCCGGGCTTTATTTCCTGGAGGATGGACTGGTTGGATCTTCTCGCAGTCCAAGGCACTCTCAGAACTTTCCTCCAACACCACAGCTCAAAAGCATCGATCTTCCTTCGCTCAGCCTTCCCTAAGGTCCAGCTCTCCCATCCGTAGGTGACTACAGGGAATACCATGGCTTTGACTAGGCGGATCTTTGTTGCCAGTCTGATGTCTCTACTCTTTACTATTTTATCGAGACTGGACATTGCTCTCCTCCCAAGAAGTAAGCGTCTCCTGATTTCCTGGCTGCAGTCTGCATCTGCAGTAATCTTTGCACCTAGAAATACAAAGTCTGTCACGGCCTCCATTTTCTCCCTCTATTTCCCAGTTGTCAATCATTCTTGTTGCCATAATCTTGGTTTTTTTGATGTTTAGCTGCAACCCAGCTTTTGCGCTTTCTTCTTTCACCTTGATTAGAAGGCTCCTCAGCTCCTCCTCACTTTCGGCCATCAGAGTGGTGTCATCTGCATATCTGAGGTTGTTAATGTTTCTTCCAGCAATTTTCACCCCAGCTTTGCATTCATCAAGCCCCGCACATCGCATGATGTGTTCTGCATACAAGTTAAAAAGGTTGGGTGAGAGTATGCAGCCTTGCCGTACGCCTTTCCCAATCTTGAACCAGTCTGTTGTTCCATGGTCAGTTCTGACTGTTGCGAGATTTCAAGTATTATCATAAAAATCACCATTTTAGCGAACTGCCTGTAGAGGGCAGCATGGAATTTCTATTCACGTAGTTTTATAAAGTATAATGTGTGTACTATGAAAGCCAAGGTAGCACTCTTTAAATTTTGTTTGTATTATAAATAGTTGTTGCTGCAGATAGTTGTTGGATCCCATGAAAACAAAAAGTAGGATACTGAATGAATGAAAATATCTGTTCTATTTTATATTATGAAAGAAACAAATTATTGTTCTTTCTCTCTTCAATAAAGCTTTTTGCGGTTTTAATTTTACAAAAAAAACAAACAACCATAGCATTTTCACAGTTACTAATATCTGATTTCATACAATCTGAGTTGTCATTATTATTCCCTCACAAGAGTGGAATGCAAATGAAAAAAGGAAACAGGGAAGGAAAATAACTGAAATGAAATCTCTAGAAGTTTGAATTTTCTTTTGTTGCTGTTGATGCAACTACACTGAATTTCTTTAATTTTCAAAGTGTGCCCATAATTAAAAGTTTGAGAAAATAAATCAAAAGACTTATTTCTTGCTTATATGAAAGCTGGATATTGGTTCCACCCAGAGACTGGAAGTAATGGAATATAGCTAACAAATTATCTATAATGATACTTTTTTGCGACACTGCTGTAGTCAAGTAACATTTCAAAAGTAATTTAAGAATACAGCATAGGAACAAGGTTATTTGGTGGTTAATGGATAATGTTTTGGGTTACTTTTAAGGCACATATTAAAGCAGTTTGAGCAGGTACTGATTGAACATCTTTTATCTGAAATGCTTGGGGCCAGAAGTCTCCCCAATGTTTTGGATTTGATTTTTTAATTTTTTTTTGAATAGTTGGTATATATAAGGAGATATCCTGAAGGTAATTTTATACAGAATATTTAATAATATTGTGAATAAAACAAAGTTCATGTACACTGAACCATTAGGAAGCAAAAGTGTCACCATCTCAGCCACCCATGTGGACAAATTTGTGTACCTGTTATGGTTTCCTTCTTTAGTTCCTTAAAGGATCTAGTAAAAACCTTATTAAATTCATGAAGATGCCATAATTCAGCAGTCACATACTTTGGGCCTCTACTCCTTGCAGGACCAAGGTCTTGACTCAGCAGGTACTGCCCACCATCCAGGCATCTGCCTTGCTTATCTGAACCATTAAAAGCAGGGCTCTTGCAGAGGTAATGGCAACCCAAAAGCAAAGTTATGCCTTTGAGGATCCGCTTCAGGGTTAGATGAGGGCCTATCCTTTCTGCGTGTCTGTATTATCATCCCTTCACATTTGTGGGTTTTGACTTATGGATTCTTCACAGATTGTATGTAAATAACAACAATTTACATCAGTCAGGAGATTAATTTAGAGTAGATTTATATGGGATAGCAGGTTTATTCTGAAGATGCAAATGTGCTACCTCCCCTAATCTTGTTAAGAAACAAAGTTATTTATTCAATTAGCAGGAGAATTACCAAGCAGTTAATTAGAATTTTGGACTGTGCTATGTCTAGCATATCTATTAGGAAATTAGAATATCTCGGAATCTAAAACATTGAAGGAAATCTCTGAGGGTAGAAAAGAGTATTCAAGGTCAGGTGAATTTTCATTAGAACAACACAAATGACTGTATATGTTTATTCAAAAATGAAAGTTTGCACTCTTCTCTCTTTCACTTGTTCCCCTCACTCTTATTTGTGAGGCACACTGCATGTCTGACATACCTGACCTGATCTTCACCTCATGGACAAATGTGCAGATCAGAACATAATTATTTTTCATATTTTACACTTCTTCAAATATTGTAGTGCTCTCAGCTCTGAAAATCATGACACTGTGTTAAAATGCATTTTAAGATAAAGCATATTACATTTGATAAATAAATGCATGTTGTTTTGACAGTTACATATAATTTTTGGCATTAAAACCACAAATAGATTCAGAAATACCCTAAATACCCTAAAGGCACCAGATTCTGTATGAAATTGTGAGATTTCCAACAAATATCAGGTGCTGTAGGCTGTATTTTAGAAGACAGAACAGGCAAATTTCCTCTGAATAATCCTTTTCTAAGAAAACCCTTTGAAATTAATGCAGTCACCATAAGTTGACAGGTGACTTGAAGGAATGTGTGCACGCACACACACATACCCAAGTCTGGCACAGATGAGAAAAAGACTTAAATGTTTGGTACATCTATCCAACCACTGGACTCCAGCAACCACTATTCTTGATGTAATGCAAGAATCATGAATACACAGTTAGCAGGTGGAGAGGAGTCATTTGGCCCCTTTAAGATTTATCTGGTTTATGTTAGCATAAGTTTTCATGGATTATAATCCACTTCCCCAAATGTACTGAAAGAGTGTAATATTCAAACCTCCACCAGTGGCTTGTATTAGTGTATTCCCTTTCTGCATCTGAAGGAATTGATGGTAATCCACAAAAGCCTATGCTGAAAGAAATCACTTTGTCTTAAAGGTGCCACATTCATTTCCCCTGCTTTTCTATTTCTCCTTTTGACACTAAAACTAACATGATGAATACAGACAATTTTCTTTTGGTGTATTGCTGGTGTGCATCTTTTGAATACGAATGGCAATAATGAAGTAATCCAGGATGTGATTCTTTTAGTAGTAAGAGTTTTGGAAGTTTGCATAATACATTTTTAGAGCTTGATAAAAGTAATTAAGATTAATTAATTGCTTCAATATGTTATTCCCCCTGAAAAGGATGTAAATGGGTTATTAATTTAATTTGTTAAATGACAACAATGTAAATCAGTTGAGTAAGGATTGACATTTCATGATATTTTGTTACTTTTGGCGGTACTTTGGCTTTCATTTGACCATTTTAATACTTTTCATTAATAAAACAAATAAATTACTAATTTGTTATTAATAATTATTAATTTTCATTAAAACCATCTATGCTAGTGAATTAGCATCTGATTCAGTCTTAAGACATTCACTTTAATGTGGACATTTCTAGTTTCTGGTATATTTGTATATATGTCATGTAAACATATTTGTGTCAACATGCCTATATGTTATTGCATGGTTACTTAAACCACTTATACTTAATGTAGCAGTGCATCCATGAATATAACTTCTAACTACCTCTACACGTATTACTCTAACTTCTGTTAGAAAGGTTCCCTGAATGAGGGCTTGTTTTCACAAACCAAAAAGCTTGGGTTCACTGTGAATGGAAGGTTGAATATATGCAGGATTTGAAAGTAACAATGAGACACAAAGCAATATTAACCTGTTGCAAGAAGCATAGTACAAAGTAGGCATATCTGTTTGTGTTAGTATAATGTTTTATTTTATACTGCTCTTTGTAAGTGTGTAGGG